TCTTAGGTTTTTCTGACGCAAGATGAATGTTTGGAAAAGCATCGCAATTCCAAAACCACCAACACTCAGAAAAATATGCATACAGAGGGGGAAAGAAACCAGTAACAAACATTGTGATGCTTCTCAAGACCGGAATCTGTATTAAATAGTTCTGTTTGTACTTAATCCTCACTACAGCTTCAGAAAAACACCGCTGGGGGCTACCATAATGGATAAGGAAACTGAGGTACAGAGAGACCACAACTTACCCAAGGCCAAACAGCTAGGAAATGGTGAAGCCGGAATTTAAACCCCGTAAAGCCAGCCAGTTAAGCACGAGGCCATGCTCCTGAATTCGGATCAGGCAGGACACTCTGGCTAGCACCACTAATGACAATGTAATTGTCGGCTTGAAGGCCCCAAACCCCAGAATCAAAGACAGAAACTAGGGGGAACAATCAGCAGGACAGGCCAGCAGTGTAGAGCAGTGGGGTAAGCACAAAGGCATGGCACCAGGCACAGCGCTGGCTCCACGCTTGAAAGATGGACAGGCTGTGAGCCCCAGGAGCCCTTCCTGCAGCTAAGGCTCTGAAATGGGCAAGCAGGCAGAAAGGAACACACGCAGAGAAAGCAGTGCCTGCCGGGTGCCTGGGACACAGACAAGGAAATTCCCTGTAGACACAGGGAGCAGAGGCAGGGGCTGAAGCAGAAGCGGGCAGGTACAGAAGCTGTCCGGTCCTCCGAAGAGACAAAGACCCACAGCCAGAGTGATACGTGCATGGGCAGAGCTTCCCCTATGGCAAGAACCCTCTCCCACACACTGAGGCTGGAGAGGTAAAAACAGAAAGGCAGCTTCGTTTGCTGAAAACTTTGTATTCTGGCCATCTTATGGGAGCTGCTCCGCCAACCCAGGAACCACGCCAGGTCCAGGCACTGGCCTACCAGCATCAGAGGAGAAACCACAGGAGAACCAGTACGGTGCCCTCTAAGGGCCTCAAAGAACGGACCAATCAGCTCCACTTGGTGGTCCAGCATAGTGGAACTTGGGTTTGCAGCCAGCCAGAGCTCGGAATCAGTACCTGTTTTTCTACTTACCAACAACATAAAACCATGCAAAAGCAACTTAAGCCTTTAAGATTTGGGTTTCTCCTCTTTAAACGAGGGGTCACATCTACTCCACCCAGATGTTGTGTGGCAGAATGACATGTGGAAAGCACCCTTTCCTGCCCTTGCCCTACTCTGAAACTATCTCTCTGTGAGTTGGAAGACTTTCCTCTCTATGCATGCAATTTTACAATTGCAAGTACTGCTTACTGGACACCTGGTGTAAGCCAAGCCACATGCCACACACTTTACATGTTACCCCATTTAATCTCAGCTCTGCCTCTGACCAGCTGAGACCTGAGAAAGCTTTTAACTTTTCAGAGCCCCGAGTTTACTCCCCAGTAGACGTGGAAATCATTTTGGCCTTACAGGGAGAGTCGTTACAGGGATCCACTTAGTACAATCATGCTAAGAGTTTAGCAAAGAGCCTGGCACACAGTGCTCAGTTTAACTACATCTATCATTACTATAATCCTTATTAATATTCTCAAAGTCCAGTGACAAGAGAGTAACAATAATCAGTCTATAAATGGGGGGGGGGGGAAGAAGACGCAAACATATTAAAAGTAGCTACTAAACAATGAAGCGGATATCTAAACCCCTAGTGTGTTCAACTCCAAGGCCTATGCTCTTGAGCAGTCCATCATCGAAGACAAGAGTCAGACACTCAGTAAACGTTATTTCTTCCCCAGGGCACTGTTTCCTAATCCAGCCCCTATCCAACTCTAGCCCGGGTTCAAAAGAAAATTCCTCAACCCTCATTTCGTCCTCTGAACCAGCTAGGAACGCTAGGAACACGGGCAGCTGAAGCGTCACAAAAAAACAACTCCCCACACTTCCTTGGTCCTCTATTTCTTCACTCTAACTAAAACTTGGAAGATTTTTAAAACGTCTAACTCTCCCACTTCGAATATTCTCGGAATCCCTAAAATCAGTAGGGCCCCACGCTTTGTTCTAACCCATCACAATTCTTCATACCCTTAAGGGAACCTGCCTCCCACCTTCCCCGTCAGTGGAAAGTTTAGCATAGTGGGCCAGATCCCCCTTTCCTCAGAACCTCCATTTCCTTCTCTATACTGGGATCTGAGACTGACAACAGCTATGTGCCCTGACTTTGGGATTGTACATAATTTGGGGTTTATCTCAAACACTCCATATCGCGACTCTCGGGACCGCTAACAGCCCCGCGTATGCAGCATGCATGCGTGTCGACACTCGAAGAACGGAGACACTTCTCTTTCACAAGGGAATACGAGGAAACATGCGGCCAACTCGCTAATACGAGGCGCCTCACGACCAGCAGCTGGGGCAGAAACACCCTGGCCAGAGACGTCACAGCAAATCAACAAAAGGAAAAGGGGTACGAGAGGGGCCCGTGGCCTCTAAGCGTCCCCCGAAACCGCTCTGTCCTCATCCACGTGAAGGAGGGAAAGGGGGCCCCCCCCCACGAGTTCTCACAACCGCCATTTTGGAAACAAAGGGGGCGTGGAGACGCGGCCGTGGGCCAGACCGGAAGCGGAAGTGCCAAGGCAGCGGGAGAAAAAGGGATTACAGCGACTAACATAAGCTACTTTTAAGATAAAATAAAAAGATTTTAAAAAACAGAAGTTCACGTCGAGGCATCTGACGCGTTCGCGCCGCGTTCCCCGCGCTACCTCCGCCAAGACCACGTGGGGCACGGGGACAGCCGCCGCACGCATGCGTCACGGGCCCGCGCCCCGCCGCCCCCTTCCCCTCACGGTGCGCGCGGCAGAACGCCGAGAACGTCACGTGAACGAGGCGCGCGCCACGGAACCGGGGTGGGGGGGTGGGCCGCGCAGCCGTGAGAGGTGGGGGGGAAGAGAGGGAGAAAATGGCGGGGGACAAACAGCGATGCGAAGAGCCGCCCACACCTCCGCCCCGCGACCCCGGCGCCCTCACCTTGTTTATTCTCGTTGAGCTGCCGCTCGAACTCGTCGAAGTCCGACATGCTGAGGCGGCCGCGTAGGGCCCTGTGAAGCTCTCGCCTTGCCTTGCCGCCCGCTCCGGCCGCTTCGGCTACTTCCGCCGCTGGCCTCGGCTACTTCCGGCCGCCGCCGGCACTTCGCCACCTCCTACCTAATCAAGCCTCCGGCAGCCCGCCCAACCCCGCCCGGGCTCCGCCCCCTTGCCCGCCCGCCCGCCCGCCCGCGAGTTTGCCCCTCCCCCCGAGCCTGGCTCCGAAACGAGTCGGCTATTTTCGGACACTGGACGAAGGAGTGGCAGGCGGCAGCTTCGGCTCTCTCCGAAAGTACCCGAAGCTAGGTTTTCGCCGACTTCCTAGGTTTCCGTAACTTTTCGGAGATTAGCTCCTCAACGTTCGGAGGTTTCCGTGTGCCCTCGTGTTCCACCGCGCCCAGCCCCCTCTGAGAGTTTGGCTTCTTCCAACAATTCAGTGCGTCTCAGTCTTTGGCTTCTTCCACGGACTTGCTCCGCTCCTCTCTGTCCAAGCAATCGGCCACTTTCCAGAATCCTAACGGTCCGGGCCTTCGGCTCTTTCTGGAGCTCGCCCTTGAGATTAATCCCTTCTTGGGATTAAGCTCAATTCCAAGTTTCGGCTCTTTCCGGGGATGCCACTCGCTCACTCCTCCAGTCAGACAACTTCGGCTCCTTCCGCCACCGCTTCGTGAAGGCCTCACTCTCGGGGGACACCTTCGGCTTTTTCCGTTTGTGCCTCGGCTCCTTCCGGCTTCGGGAACGGAAAAGGGAGGGAGGACAGAGGCGAGATGGGTCAGGGAAAGATACGGAGGAGGGGGCGAGGTCAGGGTTCTCTGCACCTGGCTCTCCGAGTGGGGAAAGGGAAAGAAAAAAAGAGCTGGACTCGCGGAAGGCCTGAGAAGGTGGCGCGAGACAAAAGCAGCCAGAGGAGTTAAGGGTGCGCGCGACCGCTGCGGAGGTTGCCAGCGCGGCTTTTTGCGCCTGCGCAGGGTGGAAGCGGCGGGTGGGGGGGAAACAGGCTTCTGCGCCTGCGTGAGTCGCTCTGTGGCGTGCTCTCCCACTGCTCGGGTGGAGGGGGTTGCGGGAACAGGTTCCAGAATCTCCATTGCGCGTGTGCGAGACTTTCCTTTCCTAGAGTGAAAGTGCTCAATCCCCAACCGTTAAATCCGGCCGCCCTCTTGGTTGTCTTGGCAACTGCATCAACGCGCTCCGGCCCCTCCCTCCGCGCAGGCGCAGGAGACCGACGATCGCGCATTACTTCCTGGAGATGGATCATCTCGCATTACTGCCCCCTGGCGGCCCGACGGAAGTATCCTCCAGACTCCGCCTGGCCCCCAGGCGGCCTCCCGCGCTAGAGGTCATCGAGTCCCGCCGCGATCTGGTGCGGGCAGCGCAGCGGATAGCATCCCTGCTGCGTGTGTGTGTGTGTGTGTGTGTGTGTGTGTGTGTGTGTGTGTGTGACGGAATTTCGCTCTTGTCGCCCGGGCTGGAGTGCAATGGCGCGATCTCGGCGGAGCGCAACCTCCGCCTCCCGGGTGCAAGCGATTCTCGTGCCTCAGCCTCCGGAGTAGCTGGGATTACGGACTTGCGCCACCACACCCGGCTAATTTTTGTGTTTTTAGTAGAGACGGGGTTTTTCCATGTTGGTCAGGCTGGTCTTGAACTCCTGACCTCAGGTGATCCGCTCGCCTCGACCTCCCAAAGCGCTGGGATTACAGGCGTGAGCCGCCACGCCTGGCTGTGTCCACGCTTCTTCTCCGAGTACTGCCTCAAAGTTTTCTGGGGCACAGCTGCTTCTGTCTCCATCTCTGCCTCCAGGGGGCTAACGACACCTTGTCCTCCCCGGCCTCCCGCCTGACCGCCTCCCACGCTGGAAGCCCCCGAAACCCTGTCACTGTCTTCAGGGCGACGGCCGTCCCCTCCCAGGCACGTCCCCCTCCTAGGAAGAGGCTGGGGCCCAGTTTATTCCAAATTTTCATGTCTTTTTTTAATTTAAATTCTCTGAATAATTCTCTGTCTCGCGGAGTTGGGAGGTCCGTCCGGGAATCGGGTGAGCAGCTCCTCTGCGGGGCAGCAGGGCAGTGAGCAGAGACGGGGTCTGTGCAGTCCCCCACCCGAGACGGGGCGGCACCCGCCTGCCTGGTTCTGCAGGAGGAGGGGGCCCAGCGAGGGCAGGGCTGGGCAGCCCCAGCAGAAAGGGGTGCCCCGGGGTTCGGGAGGGGGACCCGGCTAAGGGAGCCTTCAACCCAGGGAGCGAGAAGGAGGGGCAGGGGCGAGGCGGGGAGAGGGGCAGGTCATCCACCGGGGACTTGGGGAGGGCCGGGTCCACGGGGGAGGCAGGCCCGGGCCGGGGCGCGTAGACGCGGCGCGATCACCGCTTGAAGCGGTAGGTGATGGGCAGCAGCAGCTTGCTCTTCTTCAGCGCCTGCACCTTCTTGAGCGTCTCGTCGTCCAGGGCCAGGAAGCAGCGGCGGGAGTACTCGAGCAGGCGCTCCTTGGAGGGGTCGAACTCGCCCACCTCGGCCAGCTTCTCCGGGGCCACGATGAGCAGCTCGGCGATGGGCGTGGTCAGCGCCACGGTGTTCCTGTCCACGCGGTGGTGCTCGAAGGCCCGCGACATGCTCTTGAGCTTCTGGAAGGTGCCCAGGATCTTCTTGTACCGGCAGAGGACCCCATCGGCGTCCTTCACTGCGGGGGGAGGTGGGGACACGGAAGTGAGGGGCAGGGGGCAAGGCACAGGGGGCGGACATGGGAAGGAAGGCTCCCGGCCGGTAGAGACACCACGGGCCGATGCAGAACAGGAGGCCGAGGAGAGGAGGAAAAAGTGCATCCAGAATTTGGACCAGTGGGAAGTGGGAAGAGGCAGGCCCAGGGAGGAGGGTGAGGAGAGAAAATGAGCCGAGAAACTGAGTTAAACCGACAGGGTCCCAGGCCCGGGCGGCTCCCTCACCCTCTCCTCCCTGCCTCAGGTGAACTCACTCACTCGAGCCTCACGCTCCCGGTGAGACGGGTCCTCCAGCAGGCCGCTTTCTCGCTGATGAAGGTTAAGGAGGTGCCCAAGGCACGAAAGGGTGGACCAAACTTAAAGAAAGTAAACCCAGGGTAGGCCCGGTAGTGTGGCTCACGCCTGTAATCCCAGCACTTTGGGAGGCCGAGGCAGGCGGATCACTTGAGGTCAGGAGTTCAAGACCAGCCTGGCCAACATGGTCAAACCCCGTCTCTACTAAAAATACAAAAATTCGCCGGGCACGGTGACACACGTCTGTAGTCCCAGCTACTTGGGAGGCTGAAGCAGGAGAATCGCTTGAACCTGGGAGGCGGAGGTTGCAGTGAGCCAAGATCACACCACTGCACTCCAGCCTGAGCAACAAAGCGAGACCCCCCCTCTCAAAAAAAAAAAAAAAAAAGTAAACTGAGGACCACACGTGGCACGGAGAGAGAAAAAGAACCTGGTGCGTCTTTCTCTAGCAAGGTATAGGGGCTTGGGGAGAGAGGGGGGCCTCTGGGAGGGTCACACAGCCATTCAGCAGCCCAAGACCTCAGCGCCCACCCCATGGACCCCACTCACCCCGCTGCCTCTCCCGGGCCTTGGGCTTCCCAAAGCGCCTCCGACTGGCACCTCCCTTCTGCTTCTGCCGCCTCTTCTCGCTGGCACTGCCTTCTTCCGACGCTCCGCTGAGGGAAGAGGCTGCTGACTCGGGGTCTGAGGCCTCGCACCCAGCTCCGCCCCGGCTGTCCCCCTCCATCCGCCGCGGCCCAGGCTTCACCCGGCAGTGGTCCTCTGGAGAGAGAGACACACGTGAGCTACCAGACCAGAAACCCCATCACAGGTCCCGGGACGGACAGAGGCTGCAGTCCCCAAAACTGGATCAGGTGGTCCCAGGCGGGGCGTTTTCTCAGAGGCCTGGGTTGGTCACAGGTCTTGGGGAAGCAGCCAGAACCAAGGGCCTTAGGACCCCTGTGACTGTGTGTGCTTCCCATGGAGGAGGGACTGGATCTGGAAGCCCAGGAGGCAGGCAAGGCCTTCCTTGGCTGGAGTCAGGGGGGTCAGACCCTGAGAGAAATCAGAGGCCCTGGGTCCAGCAGGCTGGGTCCCACCTCCACCCGAACACAAGGTCCTCTAGAAGGCAGGTTACGGGAGGAGTCTGGTGCAAGGGTCCCCCCTGGGAACGTACTGGGGCTGCAGGGCCCAGCTGTCTGTGCAGAGGAGTCAGAGACCCAGGATGGACCCGTCAGCGGAAGGAGACAGTGGCAGGCAAGGGCAGCCAGAGGCAGTTTGCTCCAGAGCACAGGGAGCATCAGATTCCACAGGCCCCTAGCCCACGCTTTTGGGGGAAAGGGTTGAATTCACAAAGAGATGTGGGAGCTTTTGAGGGGTCTTCCCAGCCAGGGAGCTACCAAGGCTGAGCCGAGGGTAGGTGAGGTAGAGTGTGGGTTCTCTGGGACATGCGCTAAGGGTCTGGGGCGAAGGGCCTGACCATCTGGAGAAAAGGTTGGGGCTGGGCTCCCAAATGTATGAAGCAGGGCACAGGGGCCCAGCGGTCAGAAGACACTGGCTGTGAACTGGCTGGGGTGGTGGGCTGCTTCTGGCCATGAATTAGAGCAAGGGGCATGGATGGGGACTGCCTGGGAACCTGGGGCAGGGTCTGGGGGACAGCACATGTGGAGGTCCCCACCTGAAGAGCCCCACTAAGGGACTTAATTTCTTTGATGGGGAAGGAGTGCTCATTAACCAAGGATGGGATACGGTGGGTGGGAAGACAGCCCCTGCTGTCACACAGGGGAGGGGGGCAGGCGAGGCTAGATGGCTGGACTCCTGGATCTCAGAAAAGACAGTCCTGGGAAGAGAAGCGGGGGCCCCTGAGGACACCCAGCGGACTAGGATGGGCCTCTCAGCCAAAGAGAAGAAGGAACGTCCCCCTAGGGGTCAGCAAGAGAGAGCCTCAGGTCTCAGAGTCCCTGAAAGCACCCAGGGCTGGGGAAGCATGGCGGGGCACTTCAGGCTGATGGAATTCAGGGAGCTGACTGAGAAGGCAGGACGGGCCCCGGGATATAGTTCATGGGGATGAGGCCTTGGAGGCCAAGCAAGAAGGAAGTTGGGCTTGAGGCCCGGAGACAGGAGGCTACCAGAGAGGGCCAACATGGCAGGTCCCACACAGCCAGCCAAAGAGTGGAGCCTCGAGCCTGGGGGAGCGGGTGCCCAGGAGCGGGACAGGGAGGTGACGGCCCAGCATGCCCCACAAACACACCTGCATCCATCCGAGCGGAAGAGATGAACTTGTCCAGCTGGCAGCGCAGGAAGTCCCTCTCTTCCTCCAGGTCCTCAATGCGCTTCTGCAGCCAGGAGTTCCTCTCCAGGGCCATGTGCAGCTGGGCCTTGACGCTGTTCATCAGGGCCAGGGTAGGGGACGTGTCCTCAGGGGGCTCTAGGGACACAGCAAGGGCAGGGCCCAGGTCACACCTTGGGACTCAGGGCCTGGCTTCCCAGCTGGCTCCAATCCCTCCTCGCCCCCTCAGCTCACCCTCGAAGTTTCCCCGAGAGGGGCTCAGACTGTAAAAGATCTGGGAGTCTAGGTGGGGTGCCTCGTCGAAGGGGATGGAGATCTCGAAGGCCTCATCGTCCTTCACTGGAGAGGAGAGGCCCCGGGTCACCCCAGAGAAGTCCCCAAGCCCCTCAGCCCACCCCCCGACCACGGCAGCCTGGAGCCAACCGCACTGGGACCGCGGGTAGGGAAGGGGATCCAGCTTCCTCACTTGTCCGCCTCCGGCTGGTCCGGTCATTCATGGCGTGGCTTCCTGCGGACCCCAGCAGCCGAGCGCCTCAGAGGCACTGGACAGAAACAGCAGCCACAAATGGAGGGACGCGGACGGACTCGAGGGTCCATCCTGGGGGAGGTGAGATGAGAGAGGAGGGAACCCTGGTCTGAGGGAGGAGGGAGCCCGGACCCCAGGACTGAGGCCAAACACGCCCAGGTGCCAACTCCTGGGCTCCCAGAGACAGGGGCAGGGGGCCCAGCCGCCTAGGTCCTGGGGAAGAAGTGAGCTGGGGCCGTGGGCTCCGGGGTATGTAAGGAAGAGGAAGCTGAAGCCCTAAATTGCTGGGCGCCCCAAGGGGTCACCTGAGCAGGGACACGTGGCCTGCAGGGCAAGAACCCTGGCTCATTGCAGGCCACCTCCGGGCCTAAGCAAGAGGCAGGTGCATGGGAAAACTGCCCCAACTTCCCAAGACAGAGGGCGGTCCGCCCCGTGCGCGCTGCCTCCCCTACCCCCGGGGCCCATCCCCCTCCCCCGCACTCGCGTGGGCGGACGAACCCTCCCCCGGTGGTGGGGGCTGGGCGCGTGCGCAGTACGGGGAAAGGTCACGCGTGGGGATGCGACCCCCCCGCCCCCGCCCTTTGTCCCGCAGGTGGGAGGGGGAGCAGTCGTGGAAAGATCCCAGCGGGGGCATGCACCAGGCCGGGGGTGCAAACGCCGCCATCATCCCCCGACCGGGTATGCCCGGGGTCCGAGGGGCCGGGGCCCCCCACGCTCACCCACCCGCGCGCGGAATCCGGCTCGGGGACCGACGGCGGCGGCGCCCATGCCCGGCGCCGGGGAGCGTCTGCAAAGTGTCACGGGGAGCCGAGGGAAGCGCCCACTCACCCGCGAACAGGCGGGGCTGCAGGGTAGCGAGTCGTGGAACTGAGCGATGGAACGGACAGGGACGTGGGAACTCGCCCCGTCGGGCTAGGCCAGCGCTCCTCGTTCCAGAGTCCCTGGGTCCAGGTAAGGCCTGTCGTTTGCGGCAGAAGCAGGGGGATGCACTTGTGCGATGGTCCCTTACAGCACTCCCCCGCCCTCCCCGAAGCTCAGGCAGGGAACGTCACGAAATTCCCATCCAGGAGAGCTGGCGAGTCTCCGGGGGTCCCCGCGTTCGGTGGCGGTGGGCCCAGTGGGCCCAGAAGGCAGGAGAGTTGGAGCGAAAGAATCTACTTTTAACGATCCCTCCGGAGCTAGCCAGCGCGGACCCCCCCCCCCAGAGCCCCCGCCTCCCAAAGCCAGACTCCAAGGTTCCCAGGGATGTGGGGGCCAAAATGGGGGAAGTTACCCCTCTCCCGGAAAATGAGGGCCAGGAGCACGCCACCCCCACCCCAAAGTTGGTAATTAAGAGCTGGCTTTGGAGCAGAGCTACATTCCAGTCCTGACTGCTGCTGCCCCTCCGCAGCCTGTTAACTCACCTGTAAAATGGGGACATTACAAGCCCTAAATTTCCTGCCAGGATGCGGTGCTGTGACAGGCAGAAGCTCAGCCCAGCACCCGGCCATAGTCAGGGCTGAAGAGAGGAGTGCTGCTGGTATTGAGGTCAGATGACGGGGTGTGACCGCAGCCTCTGCGAGGCTCTTTCCCACTTCGGGGAGTTCGAACCGCAGATTTGTTCTTCCTCCCAAAAGAACAGGTCGGAAGAACAAACAAGTCCTAGCACAGTGCCTGGCGCAAAGCAGGCAAGGAGAGTGAGCTAATAAACAGACGGTTATTAAGCTCCGTGCTCAGCTCCACCTGCCTCTACTGTTCACCAGAAGCATCCAGCCAGCCCTTAGGAAGGCAAGGTCTTAACCCGATAGACAATCTAAATGTCTGCACCCCCTTGCAAAGCTGTGACCATGCTCCCCTCCCTTTACAGATAAACTGCAGCCTGGTCCAAAAATTCCTGGGCGAGCCACCTGCCCTAGATTGATCTTTTCCAAAGTACAAGCTCATGGGTGGAGAATTCAAAATAGGATGGAATCAGCAGTTTGAAAAAATAATTAGCCGGGTGTGGTGGCACACACCCATAATCCCAGCTACTCAGGAGGCTGAGGCAAGAGAACTGCTTTCACCTGCGAGGCAGAGGTCGCAGCGAGCCAAGATGGCACCACTGCACTCCAGCCTGGGTGACAGGGCAAGACTCCGTCTCAAAAAATGATACTTGATGAAAAAAAAATCTGCACATACTAAAGCTAACTATGGTAAAGAAATTTTTGTCTTGAGGCCCAGTGGCTCACACCTGTAATTCAGCACTTTGGGAGACTGAGGCATGTGAATCACCCAAGGTCAGGAGTTCCAGGCCCATCTGGCTAACATGGTGAAACCCCATCTTTGCTAAAAGTACAAAGTTAGCTGGCGTGGTGATCCACACTTGTAATCCCAGCTACCTGGGAAGCTGAGGTAGGAGAATCACTTGAACCCAGGAGGTGAAGGTTGCAGTGAGCTGAGAACACGATTGCACTCACTCCAAAGTAAACACTAAAAAAAAAAAAAAAAAAAAAAAAAAAATTAAAAAAAAAAAAAAGGCCTGTAATCCCAGCACTTTGGGAGGCTGAGGCAGGCATATCACGAGGTCAGGAGTTCTGAGACCAGCATGGCCAATATGGTAAAACCCTGTCTCTACTGTAATCTCAGCTACCCGAGAGGCTGAGACAGAATTGCTCGAACCCAGGAAGTGGAGGTTGCAGTGAGCCGAAATTGTGCCACTGCACTCCAGCCTGGGTGACAGTGAGAGACTCCAGCTCAAAAAAAAAAAAAGAAAAGAAAGAAAAAAAGAAACTTTGTTTCACATATATTTTGTGTATCTGTGTACTCGATTGCCATATAAAATCTGTTTGTTAGTTTTAAAATTTAAGTTTAAAAATATTCTTTCCAGATGACACAGGTCTTCAAGAGCTGAGGCAGGGTTAACCCCAGAGCAGGCTGACTTTCCTATTCCCCAGCCAGGCGAGCTGTCTCCCTGCTAGGCGGCCACAAAAGAGGGTCTGAGATGCTGTCTCTAGAAACAAACCTCAGGTGCTCAGAGTGGGAAATGTGTTTATTGTTTGATCAGTCTCAGGCCTGGTTGGGGGTGTAAGGCAGAATGGGGGTCCCTTCCCCAACAACGGCACAGGCCTCAGGAAGATGGCACGGATTCCTGATGACCCCAGCCATCTTTTATGAGGCCAGAGGATTTCCACTCTCCCAACCCCCATCCAGTCAAGGCTCTGCCACGGAATAGCTGATCTCTTTAGGCTAGAGGACTCCACTCTGCGTGGGGTTCATTCCCATCTCAGCTCCAAAGCACGGAGGACCTGAAGACTACTCACGGATTCCTCCTTCGGGCAGGGCTCTGCCTTTGAGATGCGGCTGCTCTGTGTCTGTCCAGGGCCCTGAACACCAGCCTCAGGCTCTCACCAGGTGTCTGGACCGGAGTCCAGGCTCCCTGCAAAGTCCTGTGGTACCTGGGGCACCCAGCCACCCGGCTCACGGATGCTTCCACCGCGTGTGTTTCTGCAGGGTGTTCTGCTCCATAAAGCGGCGAGGGCAGTGTGGACACTGGAACGGGCGTTCCCCGGAGTGCACCCGGCTGTGCTGGGCCAGCTCCCCCGCATCCCGGAAGCGGCGAGGGCAGAGCGGGCAGCCGTGGGGCCGCCCACCACCCGCCCGGTGAATGGAGATGTGCCGTGCCAAGTGGCTGGCCCGCTTGAAAGCCTTCCCACAGGTGTCGCACTTGAAGGGCTTCACCTCCGAGTGGGTGATGCTGTGTCGCTGAAGGTACGACATGTACTCGAAGACCCTGGAGCACACTGGGCAGCTGTAGCACTTTTTCTGGCCTGGAGCCCCGCTGGCCCCCGGCTCCCTCTTCGACTCCTCGTCCACCAGCACAGTGTAGGGGACACCCTGAGTATCAATGAGCAGGTAGTGGTTGGGCTTTGGAGCGGATGAAGTCTGGGGAGCTCCGATGGAGGAGGACGGTCCAGGTTCCGGGGAGCGGCATGTCCGACGGGGAGGGCCCTCCATGGTCTCAACGGAGGAAAACGCCAGGGGCTGAGGGCAGCGGGATGGCAGCACCAGCATCCGGAGGGGTGGCTGAGGCCTGGCGGACGGGAAACAGGATAGGAAGGTTACACAGAAGAGGGCAGCTCAGCACCGCAGGCTCCATCCTTTTCCCTCCCAGGACTTCTGCAGCCCGGGGCCCCCTAAAAAGTTCCCAGTCTCCCTCGTTGGAAGACCTGGCCTCGGTGCTCCCCCACCCACTGCACTCACAGGACCTCTAGACCTGCTCTGCACAACCTGGACCCCGCTCTAACTTTCCCCTGGGTGCCCTCCCAGGTCACTGGGTGCCCCACCCCGCAGGCCTCAAGGCCTCTCCCTCCCCTCTTTCTGGCTTCTTCCAGGGTCTCCGTGTTGGCCTCCCTACAGACGCCACTCAAGCCTTTCCTGCCCCCTCCATACAAGCCAACCCTATTCACAGGGGCTGCGAGTTAGATCCTCCACGTTCTGGGTCCCCCTCCAGGCACGTGCCTGGAGAACTCTGTGCCCCCGCCCCCGCCCCGTCCGACCACCTCGGGTTCCCGCTAGTCCTCGCCCGGCCACCGCCAGGCCCGTTCTAGGTCCCGGCACTCTCCAGGCTTCCACCCCCAGGGCCGCAGCTCTCGCCTCCTGGGCCTTTCAATGTAAGTTCTCGACCCTGAAAGCCCCAGAACAGCCCCCTCCGGTGCCTGCCCCACCCCCGCCCGGGCCCAGGTACCCTCCACGCGGCCCCGGCCCTCCCGCCGCCCGCTCCCTGCCCCCTCTCTCTTCCCGGCCCCCGTACCCAGTGCAGCAGCCTCTCAGGTCCGGGCGACTCCAAGTGGCCCCGGGCTACCCTCGCAGTTGCAGGCGGCGGCGGGAAGGGGACTTCTGGGTGTGCCCCAGGAGCAGACGCCGCCGGCCGAGAGAGAGGAGCCGAAGAGAGGAGAGGGTCTAGAGAAGGAAGTTGGGGGCGGGGCGCCGGGGCCGTCGCGAAACGGCTCCGGCCAGAATCACACGCCCAGAAGAAGGTTCCTAAGCGAGGAAGGTCCGGTCTCCACCCCACCAGCACCCAAGGCGCACGCACACGCAAGTAAGACCCCGAAAATGGAGTGCGGAATGTTTATTGAGCAAAGGGTAGGGAGCGTGGGCGGTAGGAGGGTAGATACAGAAATGAACCAGACCGTGCCCGTGCTCTTTATCATCTCTCCCCCGCTGACAGCCACCGGCTCACCGCTCCAGAGGGCAGGGAACCAAGGCTTAGAGGTCATGTCACTTGCAAAAGTTCACACAGCACAGCTGGACCGGAACCCAGTTCCGACTGGTTCCCGAGTCCAGGGTGGGGCAACGACTTTGGTCTACATCACACAGCTAGAAAGGGGATAAGGAAAGAATGATGCGCCTCCCTTTGGAAGGTGGGGAAACTGAGGCTCGGGGTAAGGCAGTAACCTCAGCAGAGCCAGGGAGTGTGTGTGGGAGTGAGTGACGCTGTGTGGGTCAGACTTGGTGGCCCTGAGAGGGGCAGGGCAGCACAGGCCGGGTCTCGAGCTTAGTGGAGGCGCACGTGCTGCGCCAGCTCCGCGGCGTCCTGGAAGCGGCGTGGGCAGAGCGGGCAGGTGTGCGGCGGCCCGGCGCGGGCGCGGTGCGTGGCGCGATGCCGCGACAGGTGGCTGGAGCGCTTGAAGGCCTTGCCGCAGGCGCCGCACGTGAAGGGCTTGAGGTCCGAGTGCGACACGCGGTGGCTCTGCAGCCGCAGGGGGCTGGCAAAGACACGGGCGCACTCCGGGCAGCTGTAGCCCTTGCGAGGGCCGGGCTCTCCTGGGGGCGCCTCGCGCTGGGGCGGGCCCCGGGGCTCCTCCTCCAGCTGCACCGTGTATGTGTAGGGGACCCCATTGGCGTCGATGAGGAGATGGCGGCCCAGCCGCGGGGGTCGGGGCCCCGCCGCCGAGGAAGGCGTGGAGGAGGGGCCTTCCGCCTTGGGAAAAGGGGGAGCCTTGGGGGGCGGTGGGTCCATGGCCTCCGGAGAGGAGGACCGAGGGTGGGGTGGCCGCGGCGGCAGCAGCAGCATCTGGAGCGGCAGCTGGGAGCGGCGGAGGGGAGATTAGTTAAAATTGCCACTTCCTTTAAGGAAAAGCTTCCTAAAATGGAAAGCGTCCCCACTATCACTGCTTGTGACCCTTTATGCGCCGTTGACCACCTCCCCAGCAAAATAAAAACTGACTCCAGCCCAGCTCTCCCGCGTTCCATCAGCCTGCCTCGGAAAGGGCCTCCAACCGAGCTCGGCAAAACCCCGCCACCGCCTGCCGTTCCTCCCGGGCCCGCCTCTCAGCACCCAGGTCAGGTCCGAGGGCGTGGCCCCCCCGACTTTTCTTCCCTTTTCTCCTCTCAACCCACCCCAGCAGACAATCCATCCTCAAATCTGTTTACCTCTTTTATGTCTCACAGCCCGGCCCTCCTGACCTCCGGGATTTCTCTAATCTGTGCTTTCTTCTTCCTCTCTTGCCCAGCCCCAGTTCAGGATGCTTCCCCTCCCTCTGTCCCCCCACCCCACCCCCACGGGCCCCGCATCAGCCTCCGCGCCCTCCTGGGGCTCCATCCCCGCTACAAGCCGCGGGGCCTCCCCATCTTCAGATTCCGTGGCCTCCCTCACTTCCTTTCTAGGTGCCTCCCCAGAGCCCCACTAACCCAATTCCCTACATTTCACTAGGGCTCCTCCATCCTGCTCCTACACTTAGCACCTCGAAGTCTAGCCACCTCTCCCCACTACGGAACCCACCGTCTCTTCCATCTATAAAGAACCCCCAAGATGCCTCAAACGCCTGCCTCATGTATACCCCGTCCCCCCAACCTGGCTACCTGCTACATTCTCCCCGAGGCCCCCTTTCTCCCCCGCCCCGACAGACGACGGTGACATCGTGACTTCTTTCTATACCCATCAGGGGGCTTCTCCCAGACCCAGTCGTGCGCACCAGGCCCCGGAGCCCCGCTTCCCACACTACCTCTCCAAAGCCCCCCTTCCCTCCTTTCTCTGTAC